CCCCTTTGTGGTTGTCCATTTGGTCAACCTACGAGAAGCCACCTGAGCCTCAAGCCCCTGAAGATTGCTGGGAAGAGCTCGAGAAAGTCGGAAAGCAAATGGAAAGCACGCAGGCCGTTGCGAGGCCGTTGCGAAACCTGTTTCAACGAAAGCCCTTCCCGGATGCAATGGAGACAGTGCGCAGGAACCTTGCAAACATAGCCAAAATCGAGACCAAGAGGAAGGCCCCGGAACAGGTGCCTCAGCTTTTGGATGACGATGAGGATGAGGACAACGTTGAGGTGGTGAAGCCTTCCAAGGCCAAGGTGAGGAAGACTTCGAAACCTACCAAGAACAGGAAGCTTAGGAAGCCTGGAGGCAGGAAGCGAAAAAGTGAGGCAGAGGAAGATGAGGCAGAGGCAGGCCCGAAGAGGCAGTATAGGAAGAAAACAGAAGAGGAGCGGGCTACAATGGTCGTAGAGAGTGCAGCTCAGAAAGTATTGGCGAAAGCTTCTGTGAGCTATAGCCGTTTCTTGCGAGAGCACTCCGGAGGGTCAAGAGTCAAAGGAAAACCTCCATGTACCAACGGTGGATGGCTCAAACTGAGGAGCAGCCTAATTGCTGGAGACAAGCCAAATTACCAAGTGTGTTGCAACCTCTTGCAAAAGTGTCAGTTGACTCCACAGAAGTTCCAAGAGATGATCAATCTTTTGGCTGATGCCCAGAAGGTCGTCGAGGAACATTGTGAAGACATGGAGATTCTGTCATCGCCAGAGAAGCTCAAGCGTGCATCGCTGCCGTTGCCAGACGCAGGACCCTGACCAATAGATGGTGCATTAAAATCCTGGTCTTGTTTTTAATTCCTGGTTAAACCAATTTTTCAGAAAAAAAGGAAAGACACGTCATGTCTTAAAATTCCTGCCTGAGCCGTGCAGGAACCGGATGTGCTGCGAAGAACGGCGAGGGTGAGGTCCAACCGAGTGATTCAGGAGACCTGGGCACTGTCATTTCTTTCTTGTGTTGTTTAATTTGTATATAGTTGAACAAGTGAGATCCAAACATGTATTGTTCTTTTCATCTCATGAGTCTCACTGACTTGGGCTTTGCTTGTTGTCTGCAAAGGATTATGATTTAGGGTCACTTGATACAATGTGTGGATCCCCTCACTCCCAAACGGAGCCCTAACCAAGGAAACTGCAAGAATGAACAAAATAACAAAATGATTTTTTATTTTTTTCCGGGACTTGCCCCAGGTGTTTTTCATTTTGTATTTAATTCCTGGCTTGACCTTGTCAATTTGTCAGGAAAAGACAGGAAGTCTGATGAGACTGCGTTTGAACAGGTGACTCGACTTGTAGAGGCCGGGATTTTGAGCTGGCTCCCTGCGAATTCAGAGAAAAAAGGGGACAAGTCTGGCAAGCGCATGAAGATTCCAGTCAAGTGCAACATTTGCCGGAAGAACAATGGAAAGGACACCATTTTCGATCTGCGGTCTGAGCAATATGACCTATGGCTTCACCAGCATCTGGATTCTGCTGCCCACATTCGGGCGGAGGAGAGGCATTATGTGCTACATCCACATGCTGCACTGCCAGGGAAAGATTCTGTGAAGCTTGTGGCGGTGAAGAGCGAGAAAGCGCCATGCACAGGTTTCAACATAGCAACTGCTGAGCCTGGGTCTCGGATGAGTTCTATGCAAGATGCGGTCATTCAGTATGCCACCATGGCCATGGTCCACACTGGAAAGCAATTGCATGGTTCATCCCACACCTACAACTTTGATTTGAAGAGCCGGGAGCTTCGCATCACCCACAAAGATTGTTTGAAGTCAGCCACCATAGGAGCAGATGGAGAAGCGACATGCCATTTGTGCAGAGGGTTGGCTGACTGCAGATATGTGATCAAAAATGCGGTCCGTTTCCAGAACAAAATGATGGCAGCAGAACTGCTCAACGCTGCCATCTTCAATCCAAAGGAACGGACCTCTGTGGAAGATTTCATCCGAAGCAGCTCAGTGTACACGGCTGGCTATACTGCAGAGCTGGACAAGATTATGAGCTTTGAAGTGGAGGACTCGGGCCGGGGCAGGATTCACTCGACTTAATATTGATATTCACATGCCGACAGATCGACAGGCCGACAGAATAGAACAACTTCCGGGTGTCAATATTAAAATCCCTGTCAGATTAAAACTTTCTTGTCAATATTAAAATCCTATTCCAGGTGTCAATATTAAAATCCCTGTGAGAGTAAAACTTTCTTGTCAATATTTAAATCCTTGTAGCTGTCAACTCGAACCTGGTGTCAATATCAATATTAAAATCCTAGAGTCAAGCTCATATTGAGGAAAACCCGTGCAGGACTTGCAATCATATGTCAGAGCAGTGTGGATGCCACAGCCCGTTTCGAGCAGAACCCAGGCTTACAGCAGCATGGTGCATGCCCTTGTTGAGCCCTGCATTGCTGTTGACTGGCGCAACCTCAACCCCGAGGTCTGTGCCCGTTCTCAGACCTTGGTGAAAGCGTTAGCGTCTGGCAAGTTAAGGTCCATCAGCGACCTGGAGCTCAAATTGGCAAGCAATGTGGCTGCAGGCGCTTTGCGGCACCACCCTATAGTTTGTGGAATGTTGGTGGCAGTAGTTGAAAAGACACGGCGGCAATCATGTGGCATCACTCATTTCAAGAGTTTGTCACTCAGTTCTATGGAGGAGGATGCATTGAACGAAGCAGCATGCTTGATTGCTTCGTCTTCAGGGTCCCACATGTTGCTGAAGGAGTGTGGCCCGGCATCGCGTGTGGAGAAGGTATCGTTGAAAGATCCAGCTTTGCAAGGCCTTCCCGATCCATTTCTGGCCTTTGCTTCCCAGCCACTTCTTCAGGACAACATCCGGAACATTGAGCGGCTCCTGCCAAAGCGCCCAGATGCTGTAGGCCCACATGCGAGCAAGCGGCTCATTCTTGCAATGGACAGGACATATTTGCTCAAGAGTGTTGATCCAGTCGTTTGCAGACTTGGCAAGGGATTCGTAGGCACAGCTTACACGAACTTCTTTGGAGACAAAGACAGTGCTGTGGATGCCGCGAACGGTTTCCTACCTTTGAGCCAATCTTGTGACCTCCCACCACTCCATACTTTACCGACTGCGAAGGAAGTTTGTGAGTTCCTGTGCTTCGATCCTGCTTCCCCTGCCCAGAAGCTGCCTCCATTCAGTTTGACCTTTTGCCCTATGACATCCAAAGTGACCGGATTGGAAGTCTTGCAATTAGTAGGATCGATAATGGCCTCGGCAGGGTATGCAATACGGATGATTGCAATTTGGCCCATTAAGATCTCTGCCTATTTTTTTCTGGGCTTGACCTTCATGGCAAAAAAGCTGTTATTTTAATCCAGGTTTGAGGTTTTTTCCATGAATCTGTTCTTTGACATTTTTCTGGGCTTCACATTCATGGAGAAGTCTGTTTTGTATTTTAATCCAGGTTTGAGGCCAATCCTTTCTCTCTGAGGTATTTGACAATGCATCTAGCCACAGAGCTGTGAAGAACATGCTTCTGGGAAAGAAGCCAGGAGTGCCCGAGAGCAAACTCCAAGAGATTCCTTTCTTTTCTGAAATGACTTGGACCCCCCTCCCTTCTTGCTGCTTGCCGAACATGTGCTACCACATCCCGATTGTGGACAAAGAGCCTGTCTATTGTCTCAACGGTCCTTGTCACCAACAGAAGCGGTATGTGGGTCAGTTGAGGTCTGCAGCCCGAACGTGTTGCTTTGGAGACCTGTGGTGCGACGCAAGCTCTGCAATGCAGATGCCACCGGCAGCTTTTGCAGGGTATGACAACCAATCCGACAAGCTGGCAGCGATGTTCTTGAATGTCTACCATGTTGCAGTGAACCCGGAAGAGCGTGATCCAAGCAAGATAGAGGTTCCTTGGTGCCTACGAGGGTTCTTGATTGGAAACATCTTGGGGGGATTGCTGCAAAGCGCTGTGTTTCATACAGGGTTGACTGCCAGCCAGAAGTTGGAAAATGCCATGACCACCCATGTGATGCTCGACTTGGCAGAGCTCCTGGCCAGAGAGAAGGAGACCACTCACGGTCTCAAACGGGGGTCGTGTTTCATGGCGGGTGAAACATGCTCCAACCTGCGACAGCTGTGTGGTTTCCTTTGCATCCAACTCACCTCTTTGCCCGAAGGCTATGTGTACAAGCCACATGATTCAACAGAGATTGCGCTGGAACACTGGTTTGGGCTCATTCGCAGGCAGTTCCTTTCCGCGCAATTTTCTGTGCGTGACTACTGGCACGGCAGCATGAAGCAAATGAGAAACTCTCAGAAGAAAGCTCAGGTCAGGAGTGATCCTAGCTCTTCCGAGAAAGTCTTGACGGCCGTGTCCCCCGATGAATTTCGCATGTGCGCCCAACGAAGTTTGAGCGCTGTTTGTCAGTTGTTCAGCCACCTGACCCAACACTGTGCGAAAAAGTTGGAGAGCAAGTTCCTCAAATGGGCGGCCGATGCTGCAGATCAGTTTGAGTGCGAAGAGGAAGTGGCACAAGGATTGGGGTCAAGCCTAGGATTTTAATCAAAAGAGCTAGGTTTAGGATTTTAATACTAAAAGGTTGTTTGAAGAAACGATTGTTCAGGGCTTGTAATATGTCCCGTGTCTTTTGCTAATGGAAGTTTTTGAGCCTCCTAACCATCCCCAACCGAAGTACTTGCGGTTGGGGATGGTTGGGGGGGATGAGAAGTGATGTTTATAGAGGACATTTGAGTTTGTCTTCTCCAGGTGACGCTGACACTGACATGGAAGACTTTGACATCGTTGCGCCAGAGACAGAGCATGTCGACCTTCACAAGACTGGTGAGGAGTGCTACCACTTGCTGAAGCGCCTTCAAGAGCTGGAGGAAAACAATAACCCAGGTGCTGAGGAAGATGTGGAAGATCATGAAGCTCCTGTGCCAGAGTCTGCTTTCAAGCATTTGCCAGATTCGAAATTGCTCGATGGCCTGTGCGAAAGCGCAAAGTCCGCCAGCAACCACATGAACAGCGACTTCTCAGAGGTTTTGACCTTGTCCCATTTTTGGCGGAGGCTTGGAGGACATGTCGATTTTGACTCCATTCATCACCTTTGGGGATTCTTGTGGACATTCGCTTTGAATGTGAGAGCTTGCACGGACAGCAAATGGCTGCCAAATCCTGAGCGTGCTCGTGACTCGGGCAAAGCTATGAACTGGCACCAATCCTTGGAGCACGAAGCAGCGGCCATTTGATGCGCAGACCAGTGTTTTTTTTTTTGCAGTTGGCTGTTTGCATTATTACTTAAATTTGGGGCTGGGGTGGGATTTTAGTATTGCACTTCGACACCTCGAGGTGATAAGAAAGATGATGGGAGACTCAGCAAAAAGAACGAGCAGGATGGCATGCTGGATGGCTATGACCGCATCTGGCCAGAAAGAATCCGACGACAGTGAAAACCTCAAGCTCACTACAGGGTCGGTGGTCATCTATGTGAGGCCTGGTCAACCTGCTAAGCTGCAAGTGGGGTTGGTGCTTTCCGTGTTCCGTCGCGCAAAGAAGCATTACCGGTTGAGCCACTTGCCGGTGCTTCTGAACCTGGTGGCTAAGGCCAGGGTGGCTGAGATGACGCCCATGAAAGAGAAGGAGGGATGGTTCACAGCTAGCGAGACGTCATTCGCATCTGTGGTGCCACCGGAGCACATGGTCACCCTCTTGCAGCTGAAGGAGGAAAGGCCTGCACTTGATTGCTTACAAGTGGAATTGTCAGAAGACAGTTGGCATCAGGCCAAAACCTTGTTGGACGATGAGAAGTTTGTGGCCAATGTCTTGAAGAAAGACAAGACCATCAAGAAGGTTGAGAAAGCTGATGCAGTAAATGCAAAGGCTGAAAAACCGAAAGAAGAGGTCTTCGTTTCCACAGACTTTAAGCCGACCAGGGCAGGCAATGCCAACATCAAGAAGTTCATGCAGCATTTGCTTCACCTTGATCGCACCCGCTTTCCCGCTCAGCCGGTTGTGGACGAAAATGGACAGGTTGTCGTGTACTCCGCGCAGGGCGTCAAGAAGAAGGTGGGCTTGAATTGGGCAAGCCTGCTCAGCTTGGTGCCTGAGTATTTCGAGAACAAGTACAAGGGCGCCAAGAAGGAGGTCGCATCAAAGAAGGTGCACAGTGATTTGTCCCAGATCACTGAGCAACTCCAGCAAAGTGTGCCTGTGCGATCGGTGCCTTGGTTCAGGAAATTAATATACTTTTCTTCACTTGGCAGGAAACATTTTGCCAGAACTTGACGATTTTCCTGGGGATGATGAAGGAATCCTTGAACTGAAATTGTACAGTAGTAGTATAGACTCAAAAGAACGCCAGAAACCTCACAAGTCACCAGAATAGTTATTTGAATGGGGAACCCTGTCGCATCAAAATATCTGAGGAGTGGTTTCGGTTGCTGAAGGACATCCGTGCGGGCACAACGAAGCCGTTGTGACGAGACATCCGGATTGTGAGCAATCCAATCTGAAAGGAGAAAAAGAGTGTTGGTGGATTTGTGGAGGGAAAGGTTTTCCGGAAGGAAAAAAATACAAATTTTGGGGGGACATGTGTGGGGATTTGCCCAGATTCCCCAAACACCGGAATT